CAATCAACAACAGACCATTCTGAAACCAGCCCACTTTATGCGAGTGGCAGCAACCTCACTACAGAACCCATTGGAGGACCACATCCAAAAGGCATTGCGAAGGGAGGCCCAGGTACTGGAAGGACTGGAAGAGCTTAAGAGGAAGGGTCTCAAATGCTTGGCCAATGGAATAGTGGAATGGGAAGAAGACAATGGACTAGTGTACCACCGAGGTAGGGTATATGTCCCACCAGATGATGACCTACGGACAGAAGTACTCAAACAATGTCACAACAACCCCTCTGCGGGTCACCCAGGACTTCACAATACCCTTGATCTCGTTAGTACCCATTTTTGGCGGCCCACCCTGCGATCCTTTGTAGAAAAGTATGTGGAAGGATGTGAGACTTGCACAAGAAAGAAGATACAGAGACACCCACAAGCAGTAACACTACCCCTAGACATCCCAGCAGGCTTGTAGGAAGAAGTAGGAGTCGACCTGATCACACAGCTGCCCAACTCACAAGGGTATGACACTATCCTAGTCTGCACTGATCTTTATGGGAAACAAATCCATGCAATTCCTTGTACGATGTCAATCACAGCAGCAGGTGTGGCCAACATCTACTATTGCGAAATTTTCCGCCTCCATGGTCTTCCCCTCCACTTTGTATCAGACTGGGGACCCCAGTTTGCACCAAAACTTATGCGATCACTACTCTCCCAGCTAGGAATCAAATCAAATCTCACATCAGGATATCACCCCCAAGCGAATGGACAAACTGAACAGGCAAACCAAGAAGTTGAAAAGTATCTCAGGCTATATGTGGGACACCAACAGGATGACTGGGCGGAGCACTTGCCGATGGTGGATTTTGTGATTAACTCTTGCACCCACTCTGCACTTGGAACGTCCCTATTTGAACTCACCTATGGTTACCTTCCCCTATTTAATATTCCAGTTGGACAATGGAGTGGAATTCCAGCAGTGGATGATCACATCCAAATACTGTGGGATGCACGACAGGATGCTGGGGCGGCACTACACCTGGGGAAAAGGCAATAAAAGGAAAACTATGAACAGGGAAAACAAAAGGCACATCAGTTCCAAGTGGGAGATCAGTTCTGGCTAAGCGCAGAAGACATCAAGCTCCAGTTTTCCAGTGAGAAACTTGGAGACCGACAGCTAGGACCATATGTGATTTTGGAGAAGGTCGGCCCTTTGGACTACCATTTGGACCTCCCACTGTCACTGGACCACATCCACCCCATGTTCCATGTTGATAAGTTATACCCTTGGAGAGGAAACACTGTCAACGGCAAAATCACAACACCACCAGAACCAGTATACCTAGAAGATGAGGACGAGCCGGAGTACAAAGTTGAGGACATCCTGGATAGTCGGGTTAGGTGGAAGAAGTTAGAGTATCTGGTAAAGTGGAAAGGCTACGATGCAGGACACAACTCATGGGAGCCTGCACCAAATCTTGAACACACCCCAACCATGATCCGAAAATTCCACAAAAAGCACCCCCAGGTGGCAAAAGCTTGACCATCGAGGGCAATGGTCATAAGGAGGGTGGTAATGTCATGAAGTGAGCTACCCCTATCATTTTCCTTTCTTTACGATACACCATCCGAGTTCCCCTACCTACAATAATCATTCTGGAACCTTCCATTCCATTCCTTGTGCCTGAGCTATACAGTATTATGTCATAGTTCCCACACTCCACCTTGTATATATAAGCCAGCCCCCACAACCTGGTCCCTTATCTTGACCTCTTTGTTGTTGGGACCAGGTATGTCTTTTACTTACTTACTTGTATTTATTATCAATATAACTTTGTCATTGGGACCAGCTGCCTGTTTCCGTCTAAGTCTCCATTCCGCCATGTCGCCGTTATCACCTCTTTGTGACAGTTCTCATGGCTTAATTTAGCATATATATATAAAATCAGATACTTTGGTAGTTATATCTTTAGCTCTGGTCTTGTCTATCCTCCTCAGTAGCTAGAAATATCTGGGCTACTTTCCCCATTATCTCATTCTTAAACTCTTCATTATTGGACCAGATCTGCATCTGATGCTTGTTGTGTTTTTTGTCTCTATTGTTTATTGTCTTTTATTTATATTACTATTGTTTTTTCTTTATGAGCTAGTTGTTCTAGGTTAGTAGTCACTTTGCAATATCTTAAATAGTGTGAAGTATAAAAGATACAACACCAAGTAATTAGTTCTTTAGTTTAAATATCAGCTTTAATAATGACTCAATTGATCTCTTCACTTTCACACTTGCTCCAACATTTGTGTAACATACTTCACAAACCAAAGGTGTCAGCAACTCGCTAGCTCTCACAAGAGACAACCAGGCATCACACAATAGATGATGAGCAAGAGGATGAAAAAGCAATGAGGATGGATAAAACAACCCAATACTAGTCTAGGCTACTGAGGAGAATAGACAAGAATAGAGCTAAAGAATATAACTACAAAATACCGAGTCTTATATACTAGTGGAATATGAAGCCGTGAGAATCATCTCACACTGTAACCGTGAGGATCTACAATAAGAGTCACTCGTATCCATAAGTAAGGCTGTAGGTATTCGATGAGTAAACAATAAGGCAATATAAAAGGAAGCATGGAGGCGGAACAATAATGATGTCATCCTGTCAATGAGTTGACAGGCATGAGAGAGTTGTGCATGGATGAAATGACAACACGAGAACAATAAGGTTGGCATGTGTAATATAGATGATAATGAAAATATAATGAGCGCTGGTGTAAGCACTTCAGTGATTAGGTAAGTAAATAAATGAAAAAGGAAAAGAATAATGAAAAAGAATGTTTTGTGACAAAAGGCCGCTACTACCTGTCTTCTCTATTGGACAACTCAATGTGGTGAGGATGCTACCAATAGTGGAGCCAACATTCATTACCTGGACCAACTCCATGGATCTCTTCCCCTTCATGGAAGACTTCACTTCTACACATACTCTATTTTCTTATTGATATGCTGACTTGGGGGTGAATGCAAAATGCCAGTGCAGTAATACTAACACCACCACACACATACACACACACAATACTAAGTCAAACACTAAATTCAGAGGATCGCAGAAAAGATTGAAATTCAAAGTCCGAATTTAACTCTGTACACAAATAAGTGGAATAGATTTTCTTTCACAAGTTCTATAAAACTTGGGCTTGCTAATTCTAAGTTCTTTGTCTGACTTCAACTGAAATAACTTTACTGAACTGACACTTTATTAACTTCTGCTTTATTTTCTTTTCTAAGTCAACAAGTACAATCTTTCTGAGTTATCAATGCTATCTAACTTCTGTTTTTATTCTGTGCTTTGTCTGATTATGGCTAAGTGCCCAAATCTAACTACTGTGCTTTTCTAAGTCTTTGTCTAACCCTGACCAACTGTTTCAGTCTAAGTTCTATTCTTTCTATTCTGTGCTTTGTCTGATTCTGACTAAGTGTCTAGATCTGACTTCTCTATGCTGGAAGCAAACTCCCTTCAAGTAGGACTAGCAATCACTACTGAAGTAGGGGAGTAGAAACCCTCCTCTCTTTCTCTATTCCAAGCCCTTTTTATCTGCTGGGGACCTGATACAAATGTCAGGCTGTACCAGGGGCTGTGGGCCACTACACATGGTTACCATTCTTTTGGGTTGTGCATCATGTGCAGTTGGAGTAGGCACCATATGGTCTGGCAGTGCCTGTCAAGATCCATATGCTTTCTGAGCTCTAAAGCTAGCATTTTCCCGAAACTCCCTGTACTTCATTCTGCCATGCCAAGTTCTAATACATACACTGCTGCATAAATATAATACTCCAAATTTTTGTAGGACACTAGGGAACAGTAACTTTGGCACAAAGAATGGGTTTTAGCATGTCTAAGCAGCTTCTGTAACTGTGCCTGGTCACTGAGAACCCTCACAGTTCATCTGTAGCTAACATCTGTACAAAGTACCTAGCATACAATGTACTGTAGACTTTCCAAATGTTTCACCAGTCTGTACCTGAAAAACTCGAAATTTTACAGTTTAGGTACAGATTATTTTCCAATGTATCATTATGTGATTGACTTTGTCTTCTATTTTATGATCCCAGTCTAGCATGATCAAAGCAGTGCCAGAGAAATTGGAACAAACTCATCCTTAAATGAAAATTTCTTGAAATTCATTTATAACAAAGATATTGACAGGAAAGCAAGAGTCTTTCTTTGGGTGCTTTATCACAATGCATACAAAACCGTGACCATCACATTGATGAGACTATTGCGGACATGGCATTCTTCTTTTTCATAAATCTCCTTTAACTGATTCCATATTAAGAGCAGGAATCCTGGGAAGCTCAATCTGTGACCGGAGTTAAGAATAATAAGCCCATGAGCTTGATCTTCAGAGGTATGATTTTTATATTATCACAGTCATCCACAAAGCTAAGTACTTGCTTGCTCAATATCTGCAGGTGAACCTATCTAGGGTACTCATAAATGTCAGCACTGTGAAGGAGCTTTTGCCTATGATTTCCTTGATTCATCATTCAATCAAGTTACACTACATGAGCCTCATCTCAAGACAATGAAACAGGTTATTCAATTGCAAGTCCAAGCTCATGAAACTGAGGTACATTCAATCAATAAAACAACACTTGTGTTAGGTCCTAGTTGTTATCCATCCTTTACCTTTGGGTTGGTTATCTGTCCAAGATACTGGAATGTGATCAATAGTCAATGCTGCAAGTTCATTGATAGTAATGGTTTGCTGCGCAATAGTCAAACCCCGAATGAAGTGCTTAAAAGTGTAATCCCAAGCAAATAAATGCTCCACAAAAAAAGTTGATAAGGTGAGAAATAGTGGCGCCTACTTACTCCCATGTCAAGCCCCCTATTTCATCCCTACTGATTCAATCCCCTTCCCTACCCAAATTCAGACTGTTCCACCTGTTCAAACTTTTCAATACATTCAGCACATCTGATACTATGCCAGCTTTCTACATGTCTTAAGCATTAATGGGGTAGTGGTAACCTGGGTCGTTGCCATATTAAAGAGGTATCGGCGTTGATATTAATGTCGACCCGCCGAGGGTTCAATTCCCTCTTAATGCAACCATGGATATTATATGTATTCTTTTGTTTGATAACCTTTTAGTCCTATCTATCTGTCTATGTGGAGTAAATTACATATAACAATTTGAACAGGTCCTGTATGACTTTTTCTTAGTGTTGGTACTCCACTCAACTCATAATGGCTCAATTTCATTGGTGTGATTCTTCTTGGCTGCACGATATTGGATATTTATGAAATGCTAGGTATCGTTCTCAGCACTGTCTTTGAGTAGCTTCCTGTGAGTCTTGACTTTGGTGTTGGCCTCTGCTTGGCTTTTCGTTTTGGCCCTTCAAGTTCCAAACTGGGGTTCTAAATGTAATTCTGTTCTATGACCTGGGTTTGGTCTACCGTCTGGTCTGGTACAGCCAATGCCATGCTATGCCATGCCTTTTTGGAAGATTGTGAAATGAGAATTTGGATGGAGTTTTTCACTGGAAGCTTCGTAAATTGGGAATCGTTAAGAGAGGGGAGAGGGAATGGAGGGTGGCTGAAATTCAAGGTACCTACCTACTCCAAGGATGTGGTGTTCTCTGTATTAGTATAGTAATAGTTTCCGTCTATTGTATTTCATTTCCTACTTCATCTTATTTTCTGATTCATCCTCTGCCCAAACGATCTATTTATTCATGAACACATCATTTAAATCAAAAGGAATAATCTCACACTGGGTACAAAAGTCGATAAATTATACTACTTATCGATAACTTTTGATGAAAGTTTTTGAAAGTTTACAGGCTTATACAGAAGTTTACACTATGCTACCATTTCCTACATAAGTCTCGAGTAAATCTCCTATAAGTTTACCAGAAGGTGTAATACTTGTGTACTTTTGCATCTAGTGATATAATAAATTTTTATACAATTTATTGGGAGACGGAGGAAGAACTTATTCTGAACAGATTTTGATTGGGTATTCAAAGAAAGGTATCAAATGAGTGGAGTTGAAGATTCAAAGACTTTGGGAAAGCAACTGTTAAAGTTGAATGTTCAAAAAAGAGGACATGGCATCAGGAAAAACCCAAGTGTCGTTTTTGGTCAAAGGCTGTCAAATGTGGTCAGATGTGACCAGATTTGACAAAATGATACAAATATTACAATTTTACATGGTTCGACGGCCCCCCCAAATAATTTGACAAATTTTGACACACTTCGACACATTCGTACCAATTTGGGCATGATTACATCCAAAAACTTCAGGCAGTGTACCCCGTTATACGATCTCAAACTGAATGTTTGTTCACAAAAAGAGATAATGATTCATATAAACATCTGGATCAACATCGGCAATACATGTACAACACAAGAAAACACATGTTCGAGCACACAAGTACATAATGCAACTATTAGAGCCTAACGCCACTACTCCATACCCTCGAAGTCCAAATCCGGTGTTTCGACTGAATTTGCTATCCCACTGTACGAAAAATTAGCCTGATCGAAAATGAAGACCTTGGTAAGGGAAAACTTACGCTTTGCCTTCCCGGTAAAGACGTGCCATCAACATATGATACTTTTGAGTGCCATCACCGACTTTCGACTTAAGAATCTTGTCGAGTAAGGTAGCTTTATGAAGAGTGTATGTTTCATTGAATGACGTCGCCGCAAAATCTTGTTTCTGGCGTTCAGTCTTGCCTTCTTCCCATTCTTTCAGAGCAGCAAAAACCTACAAGAAACATCAGACATAGTTGAAGAGCGATGAACACTTCAGCTAACTTACCGTGACAACAGCAAGGCTCAACATTGCCTCGGGTACTTCCTTTGCATCATCCGTCTTACTAGTGGACACAAATGTATCGCCAAACTGGTTGCCAAGCAACTTGGAACTTTTGAAAAAGAATTTGTGGAGCACGCTGATGATTGCTGGGTGGAGATATGGTTCATTGCGTCGAATAGAGTTAGCATCCAAAATCTATTCAGCGGTCAGTCAGAAAAGGTAAACTGAAGGAGAAGGAATGAACATGGTTCCGGGGGAAGATAAAGTTCAGTTTTGACATCAAAGTCTTCACAAATTTTTTGCGGGCATCATTTTCGACAGGTACTTGAAGGATACCATACATCGAAGCAACAGCATCGACAGCTGCACCCTTGACATCAGCTCGCATCTTTCCAACCTGGCCAGTAACCTACAAGCTATGTTAGAGGGTTGGCAAACAGAAAAGAATAGGGAAACGAACATAGTTTGTGAGATGACGACTATACATATCATCATTCTCAACATGGTGGGCAATTTGTGGGTGTTTAAGGCTATTAGCTGCAGACAAAAGCAAAGTAAGCGAGTGAGAGAGCTGCTGCTCACTTGTCGGAAAGGCTTCTTCGAACATAGTAAGACCAGTAGCAAGCACAATAGCTTCATGAAGGATGTTGCGTATGACCATGTTTTGTAGATGCAAAGAAATAGTACGCTGTCCTGTGGTGCCATCTGGGTACGTGATATGAGTCTCTACAGGCCATCCATTGTTCTGAAATAATAAAACGATCGTTAGCTACTTAGAAATAATGCTGGGAATGTATACCGAAACGGACAGGGTTACTCTGAGTCGCAGTGCTATGAACCTTCTTTTTTTTCGCTGGTCCGTTTGAGGCAGGAGCCGCAATGGTAGGACACTGATGTAGAAAAAGTAGGTAGCAGTTCACAAAAAAGAACAATTCATACCTCAGACTCATACTTAGCATCACAGTGGGCGGTCTATAAGGAACGCACACAAAGTCCTTAGCGGAGTAGGAATATTTTATTCTGAAAAAAACTCACCTTTGGCCCAGGCTTCTTTTTCATGTTAGTTTCAGCTTCTTCGTCGTTGTCAGTCTGCCACTGAATCAAGCTCAGCTCCATGACACTTGAAGAAGCATCTGAATATTCGCCGTCATCCAACCCGGGTAGCTGGCTGTAGGTTTTGGGAGGTGGAATACTGGCGCTTTCTTTGTTTTCGTTGTCACTGTCAGACTGAATTACTGGAAGTTAAGGAAAGAAAGTCAGAGACAACATGACATCCTGAATTTAATTACCATTAATGCGGCCGGCATGAGGACGAGCGCCAGCGCCAGTTCCTTTCGACTTTGACTGTGCTATCTATTGCCTTCGTCAAAAATCAGGTATCCACTGTAGTGTCAAGTACATACCTCAGCAAGAAGATCAGTCTCTGTAAGGGCATATTCAGTTTCTTCGTCTTCAAGGTCCTCGTCCCCGTTACCCTCGGGCTCAATGTCACTATTCTGGGCTGTCGGTTCTTCTTCCTCGCCTTCAACACCTTCACCAGCATCGAGGTCTTCATCTTGAATTTGCTTCTTCTTCTGCCTACTGGAACCTTTTACAGTAACACTGGCCTTCGAGCTGTTTTCTTTTGGAGTTTGGAACTTGAGACCACCGTGAACTGAGACTCGGATACAACATCAATAAATATTAAGAGGCTACATTCGGTATGTGGTACTGACCTTTTCCATTGCTAGCCTGACTTGCCTTCAACTTTTTCATAGCCTTGGCCGTATCTGGAACAGACTCGGAAGACCTTTTGAGGTGCTGAGCTCATGCTGACTGGGAAGCATCATTCATCCACACTTTTCGGCAGTAAGTATTGAGCTTGACGTGAAGGATAACCTATCTACTTGCCTTTGTTTTGTGGTGCAGCAGCTTTTGCTTCACATGAAGGACCTGCCGCAGCGGGGAAAGGTAAATCAAATTTGTCAATCTCAAAGCTTGTGAAATGGCTTACGCTGGGTATCAGAAGATTTTTCTGAGCTGTTTCCCATGTTTTCAGTAGGAGAGACTTTGGATTTGAGAAGAGATGAAAGAGTATTAGCAGACTGGGGCAGCATGATGCTGGTTGAAAGTGAACCAAAAAATTCACCCAACAATGGCATCTTGAAATTTTCCAACGCCACAGCTGGAGGGTAGGCTTCTTTTGCTGTTCGGCTGCCTCGTGCATTTTGAGAAGTTTGTTCTAGATGCTTCCAAAGTTTCATTACCTTCTCCGAGTCAACTGTTTACTACATCATTCTCTGTACTCTCCTCAAAGTTAATACTATCTCCTTCAATGTCTACCTACTGTCACGGATGCAAGAAACCATTTGAGGGTGGGGGCTTTCTCCAACATATACGAAAGACGCAGAATCTGGCATGCATAGCTTTTGGAAAGTCAATACAAAGCAATGCAACTTCGTATAATTCCACCAGTACCAGTCTTCTCCAGAGTCTCCTGAACTCCCAGGAGAGTATGATGTCCATGGATGAGCAGAATAGAATGGGCTCAGCTATTGTCGTTGATCCAGCAGGAGATTATTTTGGAAACTATGCCGATTTGGGAAGTTGTGATGTTGATATGCATGATGCGCACTCAGACGATCCCGAGAGTGAGAGTGATGATGAGGGAGATTTTTTGGGACTGAATGACGAGCAGTGTTGGGAACCAGAGGTCACTGATGCTGACCACCCTCGGGCTCCTTCGCCTGAGCTTGTGTTTCCCGAAGGCCATTTTGATGATCCATTGCACCTCCCGAGCTCTCGACCTCCTCCCCCGCAGGCTCCAGACTGCATACGGGAGCCATATATAGTTCACTATCCTGACCCACGCACTGGTGCCCCAATCCATTCCCAATCCTCATTCACTTCGGAAAATGACCAATACAGTCAGAGATTAGACGGACTCAATGTCAATCCTTGGGCTCCATTTATTTCCAAAACTGACTGGAGAGTTGCACACTGGGCAAAGACGCGTGGACCCAGCTCAACTGCACTGTCTGAGTTACTTGCAATTGATGGGGTGGGTCAGAATATCATAATTAATTTACTTACTAGTTCTCATCCACTCGTTTCTAGGTTCCTGAAAAACTTGGATTATCGTATCACAATGCCAATGAACTCAATGCCATCATTGACAGGAAGCTTCCCACTTGTCGTCCGCAGTTCCAGCGACGAGAAGTCATCGTCCAGGGTGAAGCTTTTGAGGTGTACTTTCGTGACATTCTTCAGTGCATAAAGGCCCTCTACAGTGATGCTGAATTTATG